CCTCCCCCCCATCCCTGAAATTTGCCTCCTCTCTGCAGCACGTCGGGTGTACCTGGCCGCCACGATTGCTTCCTAGCGCGCTGGTGAAGGCTGTGACGCAGGATGGCCAGATAGGGCTGAAATGAGCCTACTGGCCAAACACGCTTCACCTCGTCCGCATCTCAGTTTGCCTCTGGCGCTGCTCGTTCGCGTTCCCGACGCAGAGCGGCTGCCTTCATGCAGCCGATCGCGTCGGCAGGCAGGTGACGGCCCAACCACGCTTGTCCCTCCCTGTCTCCCTCAGCGACCTCCTCTTGTGCCCGGCGCTTCGCCGCCTAGCGGCCTACGGGCTGGAGGAACGGCGTCACAGCCAGCGACATCCATTATGGGAGACGCAGCATGTCCCTCCAGTGTGATGCTGTTAGCCTATGCTACTCAGCGGACATGAGCTCTAGCTTATCTTGCTCGTATGCTCTTGCCAACTGTAGAAAAATGTACAAACATCTTTCCAAACTAACATAAGTAACCCGGATAATCAGTTCTTCCTAAATAAGCATCGCTTGTTTTTTTTCCCCGGGCGAACCTACAAACAACAACAACATCGCTTATTAGAAACTGATTATCCATTACTTATTTATTTGGAAAGATGTTTTACATTTTTTCTACAGTTGGCAAGTCTAAAAATAATGATTTGTCATATTGTAATGTTATAACTAATTCTGCAAAGAGTCCTCTCACTCCTCCTGGATCGCAGGTGGCAAGGCCGCCAGGAAACTCAGGGGCTGACTTCTGTGACCCCTGGCCTCCAGTACAGGTGGAGCAGTGGGAAGGCAGAGTGGTGGCAGCTGGAAGGGCGAGCGGGTGTCTGAGTGCCGAGCCTGATATTTGCGCACCTCTCGGCGTAATGTCCCTCAGGAAGAGCTGCCAGGAAGGAGGAATCCACAACCCCAGGCAGACTAATGCCTGCAAGACAAAACATATGAGCTTTTAAGCTGCATTTTATTTAAAATGGGAAAAATCAACGAAAAAGTATGATAGCAATTTATTTTTACTGCAAATGGGCCTCGTCCTCATTGCTGGTGGATGGAGGGGCTCTTCCTGGATGGCCTTGAGACTGGCTGTCAGCACTGTCACTTCTGGGCATCGTTTCCCCAGGTGGATGAGAATAGAGGGTGGAGCTGTGGGAAATAAAAATAAAAATAATGGCTATAGTCAGTCTGCGGCAAAAATGTATGAATAGTGGCCTGGCTGATGTACATTGTGAAATGAAAACCAGTAACTGAATGCTTAGAAAAAGGTGGTGGGAAAAAGATGCTTTAATCTAAAAGCATCTTTTGTTCATTTTGAGTTGAAAAGAGAAGATGCCCAATCTATAACTTTTGATAAACATATACAGTGGGGCAAAAAAGTATTTAGTCAGCCACCAATTGTGCAAGTTCTCCCACTTAAAAAAGATGAGAGGCCTGTAATTTTCATCCTAGGTATACCTCAACTATGAGAGACAGAATGGGGGGAAAGAATCCAGGAAATCACATTGTAGGATTTTTAATGAATTAATTGGTAAATTCCTCGGTAAAATAAGTATTTGGTCACCTACAAACAAACAAGATTTCTGGCTCTCAGAGACCTGTAACTTCTTCTTTAAGAGCCTCCTCTGTCCTCCACTTGTTAACTGTATTAATGGCACCTGTTTGAACTCGTTATCAGTATAAAAGACACCTGTCCACAACCTCAAACAGTCACACTCCAAACTCCACTATGGCCAAGACCAAAGAGCTGTCAAAGGACACCAGAAACAAAATTGTAGACCTGCACCAGGCTGGGAAGACTGAATCTGCAATAGGTAAGCAGCTTGGTGTGAAGAAATCAACTGTGGGAGCAATTATTAGAAAATGGAAGACATACAAGACCACTGATAATCTCCCTCGATCTGGGGCTCCACGCAAGATCTCACCCCGTGAGGTCAAAATGATCACAAGAACGGTGAGCAAAAATCCCAGAACCACACGGGGGGACCAAGTCAATGACCTGCAGAGAGCTGGGACCAAAGTAACAAAGGCTACCATCAGTAACACACTACGCCGCCAGGGACTCAAATCCTGCAGTGCCAGACGTGTCCCCCTGCTTAAGCCAGTACATGTCCAGGCCCGTCTGAAGTTTGCTAGAGAGCATTTAGACGATCCAGAAGAGGATTGGGAGAATGTCATATGGTCAGATGAAACCAAAATAGAACTTTTTGGTAAAAACTCAACTAGACGTGTTTGGAGGAGAAAGAATGCTGAGTTGCATCCAAAGAACACCATACCTACTGTGAAACATGGGGGTGGAAACATCATGCTTTGGGGCTGTTTTTCTGCAAAGGGACCAGGACGACTGATCCGTGTAAAGGAAAGAATGAATGGGGCCATGTATCGTGAGATTTTGAGTGACAACCTCCTTCCATCAGCAAGGGCATTGAAGATGAAACGTGGCTGGGTCTTTCAGCATGACAATGATCCCAAACACACCGCCCGGGCAACGAAGGAGTGGCTTTGTAAGAAGCATTTCAAGGTCCTGGAGTGGCCTAGCCAGTCTCCAGATCTCAACCCCATAGAAAATCTTTGGAGGGAGTTGAAAGTCCGTGTTGCCCAGCGACAGCCCCAAAACATCACTGCTCTAGAGGAGATCTGCATGGAGGAATGGGCCAAAATACCAGCAACAGTGTGTGAAAACCATGTGAAGACTTACAGAAAACGTTTGACCTCTGTCATTGCCAACAAAGGGTATATAACAAACTATTGAGATTAACTTTTGTGGGAGAACTTGCACAATTGATGGCTGACTAAATACTTTTTTGCCCCACTGTATGTGTCAGACTTGATGCTGTGCAATCTATAGCACACATCCTAACATTCATATTGCTTTGATTTAAAATGTCCACTATGTCTGTTTGTGACTCTAATGCTTACTGTCATCTATCTACACACATTCACCACAGATCTGCAACACACTACACTTCACAGGAACCCCACATTGAGACTCAGCAACACATAAGGAACCTTTTATGTGTTTCTCCATGTTGAATTGATGTTAATATCACATTACTTGGTATTTGAAAACAGAATACGTGTTCAATAATATAGGGTACATACTGTATATGTAACACTATATGCACAGTTAGGGAAACACGTGTGCCTCCTTACATCCTTGCAGGGAAGACTGGGCCATTTTGTGAAGTAGGAAGTAAGATATTGATGCTGGAAATTATATTCATTCACATTGTATGGTTGCCTGTAGATAAATTGCCATACCAGCCTTTACTCAAACATTCTTTTGTTGTTTGATTATGTTTGGATGAGGTTAAATATTGCTCCTTGTTCAGCTCACCTTACCTGGGCAGGTGGTAGGTTCCTGTTAGGTGAGGCTGACATTCAGAGGGGCAAAGGAGGTGACAGTTTGCTTTAGGGCAGCAGCTTTCATTCATTTTTTAGTTTGTAATTGTTTTGCTGTGTTTAACATTTTACATGTGTTCGTCTGTTTCTGAAATAAGGTTGGTAATAAATACCACAGTTGTTTTCCCTAATTCTGCTCATCTCCCCGCTTCTTTAACAGCCTTTTTAAGTGTTCTTGTACCAATCAACATCCTCTGCCCTTTGTGATAGCATCTACAATCAAATGTATTATTTTCTTTAGATTTAACATCATTGTGTTTTAATGTTTCTTAAAGCATTTTTTAAAGACAATACGGCAGTTAGTGATACTGTGAATATAGTTATAGGTTGTTGTCGCCATGTCCAGCAATGACATACTGTATTTATTGAATGACAATATAGTGATTTACAGTATGTCAGCGGCTTGCATCGCTAGCAACAATAACAAAAGGATGATTTATACTTTTCAGTGATGGGAGGTGGAATAAATAAAAACACAGTGTAGCTTACTGTGACAGTTTAATTTGTGTTTGTTTTGATGTTGAATCATTATCTTACGATAGGTTGCTTTATTATAGCCTCCCTAACACTGATATGTATACAAATATTATCTCGGTTAAGAAGTCTTAAATTAAAGCACTTGCTGTCTGAATTTAATTATCCTTGACAACAAACACAGCATTGTTCTCACAGGTTATGTCTATGTTTGTGTTTACAGGGGAGCTGTATATCGGTGGCGTGACAAAGAGCATGTACAGCAACCTGCCCAAGCTCATCGCCTCCCGGGACGGGTACCAGGGCTGCCTGGCCTCCGTGGACCTGAACGGGAGACTCCCCGACCTGATCGCAGACGCCCTCCACAGAGTGGGGCAGGTGGAACGAGGCTGCGATGGTGAGTGGGGGGGGGCACATCACACAGAACTCAACATATCAAAGGCAACACACAATGCTTATTGTATGATTATCAATGATATCTATGTTCAACGGTAAGAACAGACAACAAGTATCTCCCCCTTCAGTCAACATTGATCTATCAATGATTTCAAGTTTTTGTGAAATCCATTGGGTATTACTGTGTTCTTGCTTTTAGCTACAATTTCTCTCAGATAATTCCAACCTTTACACATCTTCTCAGCAGGGTAGCTCCGTTTGAGGAGATGACAGATAATTAATTATAATGACAAGTCAGGAGTTGGATAGGAATCTACAATTTTAATAAATCTGTCATTTAGAGACGCAGGTGGACAGCATCCATAATTTGATTGCTAAAAATAATCAACAATATCTGACACTTCATTTTGTTAATATGTACTGATAAAGGTAAACACAGTATTTTAAAGTGATGTATATCACATTAGAAAAGGGAGATTATTTTACACCCCCTTGGTTCTGAGCTTTAAATAGTCGCTCTAGCTTTGTTTACTTTTAATTACACCCATAACTTCATGGCCGTATTACACACCAGACTGCCACTTGCTCAGAGCTTCAGAAAGTCACATCAGTGCAGCCCAGATTCTCACTGTTTACAATCTGAGCCCCTGTCCTCTGTATATCCTCTCTATTGCTTCATAAAACCTGCATGAGGGAGGTATCTCTCTCCTCTAATGTTATTGTCAGTGCGGCTAATCTCAGCAGCACCCCACCCTCTTTGGCTTTTTCCTCATCTATCTTTTTTCAAGCATATGTTTGTTTTTTTTGTTCTCCTGTATGCCAATAGCCACCATGTCTCGTGTCGGGGAGTTAATCCTGAGTATAAGGCTGGACTTTGGCTTAAGCATTTCCCCCTCTACACACCCATGCCTTTACCCCCCCGCCGCCACCACGTATCGATGGCGTGCTGAGTGTCGGAGAGCACAGACTTGATTTCCCCGGGGGCCGCACTAGCCGACTGAATGCAGCACTGATCCAGCTTGTTTTCTTTCCTTTTTTCTCCATCCCTAACGCTGCTACTCTTGCCAGCCAGTCTTATTACCTGCCTACAGTTACACACCACAATTACTTTGCTCCCTACACTGTTTAAACCTGCATTAAGCTATCATATTGACTCCTGAGGCACCCAAAATGGATGTTAATATTAGCTAATGATTGCAGGTGCCAGAGAGAGAATTGACCAGTTTTGCAAGGGTAGACCTTTTTGAGAAGTAATACTTTACACAGACCTGGGGCTGCCCAATATAAATCCATATATTCCCCTGGTGATATCAAAGGACTACATGAAAAACATATTTGACAACTTATCTAAAATGCTTTGATCCAATTCAGACAATCATTTCTCAATGTTTACAAGATGGTCCAATCAAATCAACATAAAATCTGTAGATTGTCAACACTTATTTTCGCTAGTTCTGGTTTATCTTCTAGAATTACAAAAGTGTTAGTGTACCAGAGTAAAGGTCATGAAGATGACTTTTACAAAATGCAGTGTTGTCCTGGGTGTCCCAGTGCCAGAGCCCTGAGCGACCTGGTTGTGAGGTCATTGTTTCCTGGAGCTGGGATGCAGAGTGGTCAGAGGTGGCTGCTGTGTGGACATAAAGCCAAACAAAGGGAAGCACAGGGAGCTGATTGTTGTTGCTCTCTACTGAATCAGCGGATCACAACAGCAACGAACAAGACAGGGGGAAGGGAAAAGAAGCTGTGAGACAGAGATAATTGAAGTGCAGGTATATGAAAAGTGCTGCTGACTCACTGTAGCTGAGGAGGGTAGAAACAACCAAGCATGGCCAGAAATGTTTCAATATAAAAACATACTGCATGGTTCAAATAATACACAATTTCCTTTGCAGCTGTGAAGTTTATATTCTGTGTCCGACTCAATTTATTTTATCTAAGAAAAAAGCAAGTCCCGAGTCATTTGACCCTTTACCAAAATAACATTCCCTCACTATCAGTTGTATCTCATGTGATCCATAGACCAAATTAGGCGCTTTCACACCGGAGTAATTTTCTCAGGAATAGTTCCGATAGTTCCTGGGATTTTGCGTTCACACCAAAAAGATCTTGAACTAGAACTTTTTAAAAATGTTTGCGAACATTAGGTGCTTTCACACCAAGTACTTTGCCGTACTTAGTTCCCAACTCTTTAGTTCCTGGAAACTAAAGAGCAGATCGCGTTTAAAACAAGTCCCTGAGGGAGGATTAGGCAAATGAAGCCGCTGACGTCACTTCTTCTTCCGCTTTGGGTTTACTTACAGGCCGCGAACAACTTCACGGCGTGTACTTCCACCCGAAGTCCCCGGCCGGAAGTCCCCGGAGTTGGGGACTTCTGGTGGCAGTATACGCCGTGAAGTTGTTTGCAGCCTGCCAGTAAACCCAAAGCAGAAGAAGAAGTGACGTCAGCGGCTCCCTAGGGACTTATTCCGGTGTGAACGCGATTTACTAGATAGTTTCAGGAAATAAAAGTTCTGGGGAAAAGTTCCGGGAACTATTCCTGGGAAAAGTACTTGGCCTAATTAGGCGCTTTCACAAGTTCTAGTTCCAGATCTTTTTGGTGTGAACGCAAAATCCCAGGAACTATCGGAACTATTCCTGGGAAAAGTACTCCGGTGTGAAAGTGCCTATTAACACAGTTTTCAAACATTTCAAGGAGCTTGCCTGATGTTTTGAGGTTAAGGATGTAATTAAACTGAACATAAAATGAACATAGAAAAACTATTGAGTTTTCCAATTCGACTTTCAATTAATTTATTTTCATTGTCGTTCCAGTTCAGGTCGCAGTGACCAAAATCTCTCATTTTTGTATTGGTAGAAACAGCATTAGCAGAGATAAAATCACCTTTTGAGATTTGAAAAAGATACAAACCCAAAGAAAATTGGAAAAATTCCTGGGGAATTCCTACTTTAATAAAATATAAAAGCACTGTAAAAAAAAATCTTCAAACATGTATTTTATTATGAACCAAGAGCTCAGCTGGATCTGCAGTGGGGGGCTCTGGACTCTACACTGCTAATATATGAGCAGATGTTTTAGTAATAACCAAGCTGTTAGTTATTGAGGAAGTCTATTTGTGTTTTCTCTTTGGGGTTTACAGACTGTTCTTCTTATTGCCTCCCTATACTCTGCAGGATTTCCCTAAACATTTGGAGCAATTAAAGCAGATGGAGTTTTATGCCCCAACAAATGTAAGGCACCTAATAACAGCTTCTTGGGCAGACATACAAAAGGTAGAGTTTAGCCAATGAAAGGTTGAAGTAACAGTAATACAATTCGACATGAAATGGTTAGTAATGATGAAAATATGCTTAATTAGCTGCTCAAGGGACCATTTTATTAGCGAGTAATTTGATGGGGCAATTAGTGAGGTTAGGAATAGAACAAGCTGATAGAAAGAAATTGACATTGAATTCAAGTAAAGATTTTGGAGCATAAGGTAAAAGCTCTCATATATTGGTGATTTTATTTCATTGTCTGCGAGTGTGGGGGGCTCACCTTTAATTGGGCCATTTGTAAATGGCACAGTGAGATGTCTGTTTATCTGTGTGGAAACAAATTAGTCTGGCGCTGAACCATGGTCCTTTGGAAATGTTTGTGTTTAATTGACATTTTAATGAGAATCCTCGCCCCCACCAACACGACAGCCACCACACACTCTTATTTTTAGACCAATTATCTTGCCTAATACTTCCTCTGCATTCTGATATTTTATCTTACATCCAGCCTTTACCACGTATGCTTTTCTTTACACTGCTTGCCTTATTTCATTCCCATTGCTTATAATAATACAGAGGCAAAAAAGACACTTGGTCACATTTTTCCATTTCATGTCAGACCAATGACGAAGCCGTTAGTGCTGTATGTTTAATCACAAGTGGATATGTGAGTTTTCAAAGCATTCTGTCACATTACCTATCTGAATAAATGGCTTCAATTCCACAGAGAGATCTCATTGCTGGAGTTTTTAATTGACAATTTCAATATTTTCAGCCATTCATGACAGTGGGAGGTAACAACAGGATCCAGCATCCCCCCATCACACACACACACACACACACACACACACACACACACACACACACACACACACACACACACACACACACACACACACACACACACACACACACACACACAGGGATACAGTATAATGGGGAAGCTAATCAGCGACTGGATCCACCACTACTCATTTCCAATGCAAATATTCCCAGAGTTTGGCAATTACACAAGGTTCAACTTTGAATTAATGTCAAATTGAATCTGAATTAATTTATAAGCTACACAAATCAAATCATTTTTAGTCTCTGGGAAAGCAGGTAATGCATTGTGTTGCAGTCAATAGCTGCTTTCACACCAAGTACTTTGCCGTACTTAGTTCCCAGCACTTAGTTCCCCCATGGAACTAAAGAGCAGATCGCGTTCACACCGGAATAAGTCCCTGAGTGATCAGGCAAATGAAGCCGCTGACGTCACTTCTTCTTCTTCTGCTTTGGGTTTACTGCCTGTCCCCAACTCCGGGGACTTCGGGTGGCAGTATACGCCGTGAAGTTGTTTGTGGCCTGCCTGTAAACCCAAAGCAGAAGAAGTGACGTCAGCGGCTTCATTTGAGTAATCCTCCCTCAGGGACTTTTCTCCGGTGTGAACGCGATTTACTAGACAGTTCCGGGGAAATAAAAGTTCCCGGGAAAGGTTCCGGGAACTATTCCTGGGAAAAGTACTTGGTGTGAAAGCACCTAATAGGTGTCTTAACTCAAGCATTTGAAATATGAGGTTTTATTGTATGCTTTTACTGTGTTAAATACTCCATTAACATTATACGGTTAAAGGATTGATTCAGAAATGTTAGGTGTCCACGTGAATATTGAAGCAGCTTTTGTTTGGTATTACCATACCCCAAGTGTATTCTGACCATTAGCAGATCCTTTTCTGTTGCACTCTCAATGTAAATCGACAGTTATTTGGGACAACAATGAAACTCTTATGGAGCCTCAAAAATCTGAGTTAGGCAAATGGAGTGAATTCTCCAAAGCTCTAAGGCCTTTGTAGTGTAAGTTTCCCTATTGAGTTGCTATGCAGGGATTGTAACAAGAGGGCCTTTTGTTGTTAAAAAGCCTGTAACTTTGGAAGATATCCACTTGATTTGTCTAAATTGGACTGCTGGAGCCTTGTGTGAGCTTCAGATAAATCTCTGAATAAATGTCTTTGCTTTGAACCCATGAGAGAAACTTTAAATAGCCAGTATAAACAGGAGGGATGGGTATATAAATGTATATTTAACTATATTTTCTTTCCTCCAGGACCCAGTACCACCTGTACGGAGGAGTCTTGCTACCATCAGGGGGTGTGTCTCCAGCAGTGGGAGGGCTTCACCTGCGACTGCACCATGACGTCCTATGGAGGTTCATTTTGCAACGATCGTAAGTGAAACCTTTCTTCTGACTGGCATGGTTTAACTGTGTATGGCTGGGGTGAGTGCTGCAGCTTAATATGTATTGGTGGTTTTCTAACGTTAGGACTAGCTGAAAGTTTCAATGTGTTATTCTGCCGTTTGTGTGGCACTGAGAGTGTGCTGTGCTTCAAAGGTTTTTGGAAAACTTGTTACACATCACTGCCAACAAGTTAAATATTGAAATCTAAATATTAGTCAACAAGGCCCCATTACCTCCCTTCAGCAGGGAGTCACAGATTTTGCTGCACTCTACATTCACTCCTCTTTTTTGAATGTTTTATCACTTGCACGACAGTCATAGTAACACCTACAGTGACTGGCTGCTCTGCTCCTGAGGCACCGCTAACACACGCTGCGAGGAGAAACTGTGATTAAAGTCCTGAGTCCCTGCCATGTGCTCACCTGCTGGGCGGCTGGCAGCAGGATAGTTCAGGAAGGATAGTATGGAGAGAGGGAGAAATACGTTTATTGTCAGTGGGTTGCTTATTTCCTAGATTGTGTGTTGGCTTTCAGTGTTGTGATAATACTCAGTTCCCTGTAAAGCTACATTGTATATATTTGTGTACATTATAAGCTGTGTACTAGGTGCATTGAAAAGCACTATAATTACACATACAGCTGGTGAAACTGCACTGGACTGATGATAAAGATATGTTAATATGGAAATACTGTGTTGTATAGATTGCATATGAAGCAGAGCTCAACATGAGCTTATATACAATTAGCATTCAGCTCTCCCCAAAGGCTTGATTTGAACAGGGCAGAGGCAGGGTGACAGGCTAATAGACTTGTTTGCATAAGTCTTTGTTTGCTTATTAAGTATCGGGTGCTGAGTTAAGTTAACAGTTAAGCTGTTTCACCCTCACACTTGCCTCTGTTTTCGTTACAACCACCCTATGGTTCTGTTGCAATGGAGTTTATCTTTAATTGTTGTCATGCTGGTTGCCATGTTAGCATTGCAGCATATGATTGTGCATGACATTAAGGGGATGATTAGCAAGGTACTGCTTTGGCTCTTGGAAGAGTTGAAGTGAGGAGATGGCGATAATAGCGGCTCCGTCGGCATGACAGCCATGCCGAGATAAGCAGGGAGAACCCCTGCTCCTTGAGAGAGGAGAGTACATGATGAGAGGAGATGGGGTGATGGTTCCTGCATTTCAGTTGTTGCCCATTGGGAGTGTTCCCAGTTACCGAGCTGGCTTCAAAGATGGCAGGTAAAACTGTGCGGGGAGAATACTAACATGTGTTCGGCGCAGAGAACTAATAGATGTGTGTCTGATTTGTGAGAGTGTGTAGAGTGGAGGGAAGGACCTCACCAGCAGCCTGAACTCATGTAAATGCAGAGCAAACAAAAAATGATTTATGTAGGTTGATCTGTCTGGTTTAGCAGTCAGTTCTAAATTGCGTCTTAATCTCACACATGAAATACCAACACTATATATATGTATGTATATATATATGTCAATACTGACACTAGCTTATTATTGTTTTTGTTTCTGAACAGTACTGGTGATATGCTGTTTAATGTTCATTCCCCCCACTCTTTATCTTGCTATGTTTTCTTGGTTAGGGATTGCCATACTACAGTATAACACAATGTATGCATGAAAAGCACAATTATAGGACAATTAATGTGTACGAATATGTGTTATACCACAGTGTGTCAGTCTCTTTCAGAGTGCATGCCTTGCTATAGTTGGTTCCTACTGCCTTTCCTTCCTCACAGCATCTACACATTTTCCGACCTGCCCTTCTGTCGTCATCTTGGCACTTGGAACACATGTTTCCTCTCTTGATCTTGAGAGCCTTCCACAAGTTAAACTCTTGGCTCCTTCTCTTCACCATCTTCGCTTTCTTCTCTTTGCCATTCCGTACTTTCTTGACACACAAGCAGCTCTGTGTCCTGGACTTGAAAAAATGAATTGACAGTTATCTGAACCTGCCTTCCAACATTCGGGGAATTTTCCTTAAGCCTTCTTTGAAATCTAAGGTAGGTCATTGGGGAGCATTTTTTATTTGTGTATGAAACAGATGTTGCAGGTGTGGAGGATATTGCATCATATTTATTTTCATAGTAAAACAGTATAATTGTGTTTTTTCTTCCCTCCAGTGTTAAATATCTCTTCCCTACTATTCCATATGGCGTCATACATGTCTGAAGTGGACGCCTTTGAAATGGTTTAATTCATTGTAGCATTGTTTTATTGTAGTCGTGTAAATCAAATAGATTGCATCCTACATTCCTGTGTCTGCATGCATAATGAGAGTGAGACAGGTGTACGGGTTACATCTCTTTGTAGCTTTGCAAAGGGTATGGATGCATGTCATCCAAAGAAGGGGCAGAAATAGCCCAGTAAAATGAATCCCAAAGAGCCAGCCTGCCATGTGATCACACTCTTTATCTCTCTCTCAGCAGCCATACTGTGAAAATGAAGTACTCTCACACACCTTCTCGATAACCTGCAAGCATAGACACTATTTGCCGACGTGTGCTGTTTATAGTGTCTTTGACGCAGGCATTTGCTTCTCTTCTAAGTAAATTATTTTGCTTTTAAAGAATAATGAAAGACTTGAATAGAGTGATAGCCCCTGCATTTGGTTCTCCAAGGGGAATTAGACATTAGCATAATTACTCTTCCACCATTGCTTACACTGCGGTTTGTGGGTGGCCTTCCTCCATGGCCATGATAGACAAAGCATAGAATGGGCCTCAGGTGTATACGCTGTGTAAGTGTGCTTGTGTGTGTGGACTACACTGCTTAATACAATATGAAATATGAAACACAGTTATCCACAGCCAACGACACACACTACGTTTCTAATTTAATAGAGAGAAGCCTTTTTTTCCTCAGTTTAAGGCCAGTAATCTGTTTCACTTTGGGTAGAAAGATTGTTATTATTTATGAAGGTTGATTCATAGTTGAATGGAGTAGAAATAAATATATAAATAAATGTTTCAATTTGCATAATTTTTGTAACATCATTGATCCATCCAAAATAAACAGAAGTAATGTGCCTTTGGTAGATGTCATCTCTCTCAGTGACAGCCAACACTTGATGATATCTGGAATAAAAATAGTTCATCCTTTTGCATTGTATTTTTTATTATTAGAAATTAGGTATTTATGTTATTGGATTTCATATCTGAAGGATTGAATAGGAAGATGCATTAGTTGACCTTAACTAGTTGCTTACTTAACATTAGTGCACAAATTCCCTATATTTGTTATATTGTCATTTGTTGTGCTCTATATATAAAGGTTCCCTATATCAATGACTCCAGGCTTATTGTTCAAACATAATTGTGTTGTCTTTGAGAAGTCGCACAATACAATGCCCAGAGGGGAGGCAAAATAATGTGTGACATGTTGAGATGGTAGTTCTAATCCGGGATTATCCCGAGGTTATTCACTTTGGTTGATGGTATTGATGAGGCCACGCTCAGGGCAGCTCTTACATAGATTTCTCCCAGGTGTTATTTAAAGCAAGCTTCATGTTCATTCCCTCCCATGTCTCATCAAAAATGCAGATATTTCTTTCTGATTGCACTGTTGTTTTTGTTTTATACTATCCAAAATGCCTTCAGGCACAACAGTTTAAAATTGGTTTGCTTTGTAATCAATCAATCAATCAATCAATGTTTATTTATATAGCCCAATATCACAAATGTTACATTTGTCTCAGTGGGCTTCACAGATTGTACAGAATATCAGTATGACAATACGACACCCTCTGTCCTTAGACCCTCACATCGTACAAGGAAAAACTTCCAGAGAAAACCCACAGTTTAAAGGGGAACATGGGAGAAACCTCAGGGAGAGCAACAGAGGAGGGATCCCTCTCCCAGGACGGACAGACGTGCAATAGATGCTGTGTGTAAATCGAAGAGATAATACATTTTGCAGCGTAGGTAGACCAAATGAGGATGTCAACTATCCTGTGGGAGCCATCAGGGAAGTAGTATGATGAGAGTCAGGCAGGACCGCAGTGACAGGTTCAGCAACGACTCAAAGTCCAGGACTCCAGTACTCAGGATAGAGGATCCAGGACACAGGGTCCAGGATTCAGGATCCAGGACTCAGGATGCAGGATCCAGGACACATGACTCAGGATCCATGACACAGGACCGCAGTGACAGGTTCAGCAACGACTCGAAGTCCAGGACTCATATCCAGTACTCAGGATAGAGGATCCAGGACTCAGAATCCAGGACTCCGGATACAGGACTCGTAGATAGACACCAAAAAGAAATTTGGGGGAAGCTGGGTTATTCGGAATATGGGAGTACACAGGTACAGACAGACAGAAGGAAGAAGTAAGGTGTCCCCCGACAGTCTAAGCCTATAGCAGCAAAACTAACGTGTCTACGTACATGGACTCCCTTAGGATAGGGTGAGGGAAAAGAGTAGTAAGTAAGAAGTAAGGAACAGAGGTGGAGAGGCACAACGTGTCTACGTACATGCACTCCCTTAGGATAGGGTGAGGGAAAAGAGTAAGAACTAAGATGTATGCGCCACATCTATACCATGAGCGCATTGCTCCTAAAAAGTGTTTCTGGCACTGACACCAATCAACAGTTGTGCGTCGACTCGGCAGGGATCAAGGCACGTGTATGCCTCTCCCTGCTTCCACCGTCGACACACACAACCAAATTACATCGATACCATGAGCGCAGGTAATGTGGTTTATTTGAAACACGTATATACATTTTATTTATTAAGTGAAAGGAAGTGTAGCTAATAACCAATACTGAAACTGAAAAACAATGTTGGCATGTTTAATAAAACTGTACATTTCCTTTCCTCCTTATTTCCTCCTTACAACCCTATGTTGTATTGACAATCTTTATTCATGAGTGTCCACATAGCATGGCAGATACAAAAATACAGACATAAGGAATCCTTGAGTCTGATTGGCTGAATGTCTGTATTGGAAGTGATCACTATATCCAAGGGTTGACTCTGTTGCCTTATACC